CGGCCGCCCCGCGCTGCCCCCCGGGCCCGCCGAGCCGTGTCGTGCGCCTCCTCCCCGGAGCGCAGGGGCTGTAACTGCCCGGGGATGTCCAGGACCGGCTCCTCGGAGAGCCCGGCCGGCCCCCGAGCCCCGGCTGCCCTGCAGGAGCTGATCCCGTCCTGCTTGTCTGCTCCCGGCTCCCACAGCCGCCCTGGCTGCACGGCAGGTCACCACGCGCTCGCTGCCACCTAACCCTTGGGCTTGACCCCTTCCCTGGTGCCAAGCCAAGTCCATTCCATGCTCTCCTTCCACAATCTCCTCCCGTTCTTCAGGACGCGGGAGAGCAACCAGCAGGCTGCACCAGACAACCCTAGCGCAAGTAGAGGAACCGTGACTGCGGCGGCTTACACTGCCAGAACCTCCCTGTGGAAAGTGTGGGCTCTCTCTGAGAGCAGCCGCCAGGCCTGGCCTGCCCAGACTTGATGGGTGCTGGGAGCTCGCTGACAGGGCGGCCTGCTCCGGCTCAGCCCATCTCCAAGGTCTCGAGAAGCTCTGCAGGCTCCCAAGAGGGTCTCTTGGGAGGCTGGAGCAGCTCAGGAGCCCACAGAGCCTGGATGTGCCTGTGTGCAGTCCAGTGAAGCCTTTTACCTCTCCAGAACAGCAGCTTCCTGCAGTTTCACCTTCTCCTCTTTGCTTAGATCAAGTTCTTCAGTCACGTCAGCTTCTGAGAGGAGCTGTCATCAGGGCTTGTCTCCATATTCAGGTGGCAGGACCTGTCACGGGCAGAGGACTGCTTGTTGGGCTGAGGCCCCACCGCTGGATGGGCAGGCGTTTCTTTGGCTCATGCAGTCCGGTGTGGTGTCTTTGGTGCATGTGCCTCTCATCCATTGCTGCCTTCTCCGAGGACAGTCCTGTCCTCCGCTTGGGCAGGTCTCAGAGCAGCGGGCGGCATGTGTTAGATTTCTCCTCATGTGTTTCTATCAGCAGTGGAAGCATCCAACCTATATCCTCTCATCTCACCCTCGAATCTCTCATCTGTCCTGGTGTGAGAATCTGACAGCCTGCGGCCTCCAAGATGTAGAGAAGCCCAGAAAGAGGCCTCAGAGTAGCAGAGAGGTAATAAACGTGGACAACTGAGGAAACATTCTTTTTTTTTCAGATGTGGCCTAGAGACTATGGTCATGCTGCCCAGATATGTGCTATGCCTACTGGCCAAGATGTTCTTGCTGGCCAGAGCTGGAAGTCCTCTACACTACATCAGCAATTCCTCAGCAATTCCTCAGCTTGTCCCACCGGGCTCTGCTGGGACACTGCTGCACAGCACAACGAGGAAACGACTTCTCACCAGGGCCTCCTGCCCTGGACAGTAGTTGTGTGTGGCTCTGGCTGATATGCAAGGCAGAGAGAAGAGCTACAACACAGCAGGGACCATCAGGCTCCAGCATCCCCTGTGTGCTGGGTTGAAGGCCCAAACACCCCTGTGGAAGGCAGGAACATGGTGCCGCTCTTTCACATCAACCTGGGGCCATCTGCAGTGCTCCTAACACCCTTTCCAGCCCGGTAAGGGCTGGAAAGAGTAGCCCCAGAGCCACCTTGCTCTGAGGTGACCTCACCAGCTCCTCTGCTTGGCCTTACAAGTGAAATCTCCCAGACGAGTCTCACTTCACGCTCCCCAGCTTGTTCCTGCAGTGCAGATGCAGCGTCTCCCCCATGCATGGCTGCCTCCCAGGTGCTGCTCAGCATGTTGTTTGCTAAGAAATAGTCGGTTTGTGTGATTCTCCTCTGGTGTGTGCAGGCAGGAGGGCAGAGCACGACTGCTCAGCTCTACAACACACCGCCTTCACCCTCCCGCCGTGGCTCCGGCCTCTCTGCCTGCATTCGGCCAAACACATTCCCCAGTCTTTCAACAGGACGCAGTGCTGAGCTCTTCACCAGTGTTTATTGGCTAAATACACAGGAGGTGGAGGTGCCGTCCAGCCCGTGCCGCCCCTGCGCCGTGTGGCTACAGCGCTCAGACAGGAGCATAGGCTAACAGCGCGTCGTAAACAGCCCTGGGAGAAGGTGTAGGCACAAGGAGCCCCCGTGCACCAGGGCAGGAGGTGTTGGGGGCCACGGAGGAGGTAGCTTGTATTGCCGTGGGGCAGCAGCACGGCTGAGCTGCGCGAGCACCCGCCAGGACGGGGAAGGCACCGGGCTGCGCACGAGCACCTCAGTGCTGCGCAGCAAGGGCAGGACCGCGGCCTCCTGGCCACGTGAGGCACAGTGGCAATAAGCCCGTGACCATTTCCAACTCTGCCAGGGAGAAGGGGCTTGTACCCGAGCTAACCTCTGGGAGCACTTGCTGAAGGACTGCAAGAAAAGGGCTCAGCAGAAAATTTGTGGTGTGTAAGTGACAACTGCCGCATCACTTGACTTGTTTGGTGCTAGGATGCCGCTTGTTCCTAAGCTCCCCTGCTGCCTAAGGGCCATGGTCTGGCTGGGTGAGCCCCCGGGGGAGAAGGCCATTGAGTCAGCAAGCCTTAGCAGGGGTGTTTTCTTCCTTTCTCACCCCTTCCTTCTCTAAGAGGGAAGCCCTGTGCTGAGGAGCTGTTACGGAGAGCAGAATTGGACCTTTGTATTCTGTCCCCACGCTGTCACAACCTTACACCTGTACCTTCACTCCTGCTCCTTTCCTTGCCCTCTTCCCAGAGCCTCCCTGCAGCGGAGTAGGGGAAGGCAACACCAGTACAGAAGGGCTCAGCTGTCTGCAAGATGCTCCACCTCACCAGCCCACAACAGGGGAGCAAAGCAAGCAAGCTGACAGCCTCCATTTAACTGTAGCAGAGTTAAGTGCAGGAGCTGGTAGCTCAGGGGCTGAGCCCTTTGCTCTCCTGGGAGAGAAGGCCATGGTGAAGCAGGGTGGGGAGTTTGTTCTGGGGAGCTGATAAGCTTGGGCTGGGCAAGCAGGAGATGTGGGAGAGGAGATTGCGCTGCTCGCTCATAGTCTATTGCACACAGGAAGGGGTCAGGCAGCACGGGCACAGGGAAATGCTCAGCACCTGTTACTCAGCACCAGGAATGAAAGACAGCACTTGGAGGAAGGGTTTTGCTGCTGGCAGACAGCAAAATGATTCCTGCTCCACCACCACAGAGCCAAGTAGGGCAGCCTATAGAGGAAAGAGAGGAGCAGGGCACAGGGAGGGAGCAGGAACTCATTGCTCTGCATGGCTGAAGTCATAGCAGAAGTTTAAGTTGCTGGGGGGCTTTGGGACAGGAGGGGGGGTGTCAGGGATGCTGATGTTTTCCAGGTCCAGGAGCCGCAGCTTTAGTTCCATTGACAGCAGGACATCAAGATCTGTCTGCGTTCGCTCGCTCGTCATCTCCTTGCCCAGGAGCATGTTCAGCCCATCTGTCCAGAGGCAGAACTGGGGAAGGAAAGATTGGCATTTCCAGCACCTCTCAAGTGATGAGAAAACCCCTCTCCATCTGTGGTGGCACCTGCCACAGCATCCACCTCAGCCCACGTGCCCAGAGCAGCCCTGCGCTGAGTTTCTCCCTCCCCACACCTCCTTCACTGTGCCTCTTCTCCCCTGCCCTTGCCTAGGTTGAGAGCAGCGTGGCCCCAGCCTCCAAGAGCTGGCTGCTCCAGCAGAGTCATGCAGCTCTGCTCTTTTCTCCTTTCTTACCACACACTTAGCTCCCAGCCACAAGGAGCCTGGCCCAGGGCCCTGGGGGACCCAGTGACCTGTCTGATGGGCAGTGCTGCTCTGGAGGAAACGAGCGTCTGTCTGTCTTTCCAGAGAAGGCATCAGCCTCTTTACAGCACGTGGCCTCAGCCCTACCTTCCCCCAGCTGCTTCTCCCACTTGCACAGCCTGCTCTCAAGCCACTGTCACCCTCTGAGCTCCGTGTGTGACCTTTTCAGCCAGGCAGGGTCTTTATTCATCTCCAAATCTTGTAGCCAGCTGGAGAGAACGGCAGACCTCACATTCCTCTGAGGCCTCCGCCACAGTCACAAAGGAGTTATTGTCCCTTGGACATTAGCTGGGACACAAGTTGGATGCCAGGGAATCCCAGTTCCCCTGGGCTATGCAGTGAAAGGCGGGAGTGGGCACTTCCCCTCCCAATGCCACAAATCACCCCTTGGTGTCCAAATCCCGGGCAAAACCAGTAACTAC